AGTCTAGAAATCCACATATACTATAGGAAAACCTTGGTATACCTATGAAATTTCTGGCAGAATTATATCCGTCGATAGAAGCGACTGTATAACTGACGGATATTCCACCGATAATTTAGTGGTGGGTTTTTCGATGGATAAACAGCCGGAAAGTTTATGATGAAAAAACCAACGACAAAGCTGTTAATTTTTGGAAAATTGGCAACAAAACTTCCGGTAGATTTACTATCAACTTACTTATATCTGACAAAATATTTCTAAAGAAAATTTTGCTGGAAATATTTCTTCGGACAATCCACTAATATTACCGCTAGAGAAGGCCCTATTTTTTGTGGTCATCTTCCTTCTCATTTTGCTTCGCTCCGTCTAGCATCAGTCACCTCCCGCCGAACGCCGCCTCCGTCTCCTTCATGTACACCCCTCTGTAACCAATGTTTGCCACCTCGGTCATCGAAAATCCATCGTAAGTTGATATGCATTAGCCCGTTTATTTTAACTTTGTTCATGGATGTTCTCAGTAGACATTTATAATATATTGTGCCATGGTGTATGCATTTTGTTGATGATATTCATCTTGTTGATAAGACTGGATTGGGAGTTTATGGTGAAATAGATGTGGATAATATTAGTAGAATTTAAGTTGGATAGTTAAAATGGAGGAATGTGTTAGGCTTATTGTGAGATAGAAATTTTCCTTCAAACTTAGGGGAAAATTTTATAAGATGTGTGGCTTTACTCAAGATATGACATTGGGCTTATTGTGTGATAGAAAATTCCCCTCAAATTTAGTGAAGGAATGTGTTTGGCTCATGAGTGGATTTACTCTTAGAGACAAGATACGAAATGAGCATATACGTGAAAAGGTTAGAGAAGATCCTATGGAAGATAAGATTAGATATAGTGAGAGAGTCTCCTTGAATGGTTTGTTCACATAAAACAGTGGTCTATTGATGACCTTGTTAGAAAAGTAAAGGTATTAGGATTCGCTTATGTTAAGAAAGATAGAGATATAAAAAGACTTGGATATTTGTGAGACCATAAGAGGTGCTTCGAAACCGCCGAAAATGATTGCTTCAAAAATGATGAATATTTCTACACAATTCCATCGGAATTCTGTGGGCAAATCCACCAGAAATATCTCATGCGAAAACTGTGTTTTCACACAGGTACCCCCTGAAGACCTATGCATGCCTTTCTTGGTGTGATAAGAAATTTTGTATATTTTTATTGCATTTTTCATTTATTGGTAAGAAATTTTAAAAGATTTTAATAATTTACTTAGATATGAATGTTCATATAAGTTTATTATAAAAAGAGGTCTTGGGTAGAGAACCGGTCACTATTGAGTTGCATAGTCATACACATAAGCAACAACAAGACCAAGAATGGGTTGATGAGCGAACAAGGAGAGCCTATGTGAGTACATAAGTTTAATATTTTAGGTGTCATGTGTAAATTAATTAATCTTATATTAACTTTTGTATGATGAGTATACACGGCTTCTCGAGAGCCAGCCCATAACAGGTGAGGGACGTTCTGGGGGATTAGTAGATTATTCTAACTACCGCACTTGGTCGTAAGCTGTAGGTGGAATGCAAAAGGCCGAGTTTATGGTTTAGTCTTGCAAGCCTATGCATATGAGGGACAGACATCTGGTGGCTCCACCTTCTTAATAAGTAGTCAGGAGTCATTGTATAGCCAACACGTATCTGCTCTTACAGCCGAGCTAGAGCAAGTCAGAAAATCACAAGCTAACATGCAGATGTAGCAAACTCAATTGTTGCATGAGCTGCAGAAATTGAGAAAGTAGTTTAATGGAAAGCAGACAACATCAACATGGGAGGATACTTATTCTAATTAGAGTTTTTTTTTTATTATTACTGGACATTTCATTTATATGTTGAACACTTCATTTATATATTTGTATATTTTATTTTTCATTTTAAATTGTGCAATGAATGTACTATATGTTTAATTTTGAAATGTTTGGTAAATGTTCAATAAAATGTTGTGATCAAATCTGTTAGTACAGGTATGTAACATGTCTTTATGTTTAATGTTTAAATGAATATGATATATGTATATTTTTATGTTGGTTTATTGTCTTGTAGAAAATATAAAAGGGAGTCCTATTTCTTTTCCTACATGTTTTTGGTGGATTTCCTATGGAATATCTGCTAGAAATGGATATACGATGAAGATGTATCATATTTTCCACAGAAAATGTTCGTTGGAAATTTTGGGGGATAAATCGCTAGTAAGAGTGCCTCGTAAATGATGAATATTGCCACACATTTTGGCTCGACATCCATCGGGAAATCCGTCAAAAATATTTTTGGCTGAAAATTTCTATTAAAAAAAGGTTTCCAACATGCATTTTACTGTAGACTACATTTCAGCCAAAATGCATAATTTCTAACAAACTTTTTATATTTTCGATGAATATGTGTCACCGGTAATGAGAGTTTTTTTTGTAGTGCGAGGATCTACCAGGTGCATTAAATCAACACTTATATAATTAAATCAATTAAGGTTTTTATGGTAAGCCAACTTAAACTTTATTAGAATTTATTAGGGTTAAACTAAAGTATAGGAGTCCACCTAGAATTGGCAAGGAAGTATTAAGTTAATTAAATAATAGTTGGCTTAACATGGCTCAGTGTAGGGCTGTCAAAATCGGGTCATGGGTCGGGTTCGGGTCCAACCAGAAATTAACCCGACACTATTCAACTCGACCCGTTTTTGCAAACGGATTCGTTTTCCGAACCCGAACCCAACCCGATTAGGGTATATTTTATTATTTTTTTTATTTAATTCAATTTATTTAAATCTAAACCCTAAATTAAGGTAAGATTTAAAATAAATCAAGATTAATTTAATTTTAGCAATAATGTTTATAATTTTTTGAAATATCATTTACTTATTTCATAAAAATCCATTAAAATCCTTCTAAATTAATTAAAAACGGGTCAAACTGGGTTGATTTCGGGTTTCCGAGTCAACCCGAACCAGACCCAATTTTATAAAAGGGTCGAAATCCATAACTCGAACCCGACCCGGTTCGGGTTCGGGTCGAGTTTTTGTGTCGGGTCAAATATTAACACCCCTAGCTTAGTGGATATTCAAGGTAAGCCAATAGTAGTTTAATCGCTATTAGAATCCACCAATGCCAATCTATACTCTAAAAATCTACCAAAGATCAACTAGGTGACATTAGGTCAACATTAATGTGATGAAATTAAAGAGATCTAAGTAGTGTTGATAAGCCACTAAAAGGTCCTATGTTAATTTAAGGATTGATTCAATATAGACTAAAATAGGACTAGTATAGGGTTATTCTAAAAAAGAAGGTGAATAATAATAAATTAAACTATTTTTTTGAGAATGTTGCTTGGGAATTAGTCTGTAGGCCTCAATAGAACTAAATAGAGCTTTATGAATAAGTTAGATTTCCTAGGTTGCATTATGACAATTAAGGAAAGACTTGTTACACAATAGTACTTACAGATATAACGAATAGATTTTGAATTATATCGTATGTTATTACAAGAAAAAATGCTATGAGTTTTCTCCTAATATATGCTTATTCTAAGGATTTTAAAATCTTTTAAATGAAATTGAAAACTTCACTTGTGAATGGGCTCTTCTTGCATCTCAACCTATATTTGAATGTGAGTTAAAGAAGAACCCATGGATTAAACATTAGAGTATAACAACACATAAATTTATTAAATATTGATCTCTTTATTTTTTTAATTTTTATTTTTATTTTTCTTACATTGTTAGAAGCATGTGAGATGTATATTTATTTTCATGTTGTTTCATAAGAATGCAATTAGAAAGAAGTTTAGCTCTATTAATTTAGGGGTGAACTAGTTAGTTCTATCATTTCAGTGTCAAAATCTCATTATTATAATCAATTTAGATAGAAATGTCACTTAATTATTAAAACAAAATCAATAAATTTTTATAAAAATAAGAAGTTATTGCTAGAAAATATATATTATTATCATAAAAATAAAAATTTATTGACCCCATGTGTTCATAATATATACAAGCTCATTTTTATAATAACAAACAGATGATTAGAGGCACTAATATTTACACTTAGATTAAAATTCTAATACGAATTTTAAAGCTTTATGAAAGATCAGTTGATAAATTAATAAAGCTAAGGGTAGACTTAAGGACACAAAATGATGATCATTTGGATCTGAAGAAGTCATTCTAAGGCCATTATACTAATTTGGTTGTATAGAATTATAAATTGCAATTCAATTAATATCCTTTGGATCAAGCTCATACTGAAAAATTATTATAATAAAAATCTAATACCACTCAAGAAAATAATATAGTAAATATCATGAAAATTAATTAAATAAATTTTAACAAAAAATTATAATGTCATTTAAATCAAAATATCTCCTGATATTGCAAGCATTATAGGGATTATACAAGCTACCAAGGAGTTTGCAAGTTTGTTTGCCTTTATGTTTAACTTTTCAATTGAAATTTATTTTTATATTGTTTTAAAACAAAATCAATAATTTTTGCTCCTTTCCATTTGCTAAGTCTTGGGTAGCCTTACCAAGCTAAAGTTTTATTCTGGACAGTTTTCTTACTGCTTTCTAAAGCAGCTTTTTAACACAAAAAAATTCAGTTCACAAAAATTTTACATTAAAAAGCTGCTTTAGAAAACAATGAGAAAATTATTCCAAATAAAATATTTTGGATTTATGCTCGCTGGCACATAGGGTGTGACAATTTTTCCGTCATCCCAATAAAAAAAGAGTTAGAACTTAAAGTTATATATATGATGTATAGTTTCATTATTTAAAAACTATTATACTACTATATAAAATAAAATAAATCTAAAATACATACAATAACATCTCTATATACCTCTCATCACTTGCACAAATGGCAAGATGACTAGAAACCCAGACTCTACAAACTTCAATTCTAGTTGTGGATCACCAAAAACTTTTCAAAAAAAAAAACAACTTATATTTTGCCCTTATTGAGTGTCACCATTTGTGCAAAGCCTGGCAATGCAATTTTTCTTTAGTCCCATTCTCAACATCCTATACTCTCTCCTCCACTTGTCTTTAAAACTTACCCAGAGCTTTCTTTCAAATCCTCGCAGCATTTTCTTACTTGTTTAGTGATGGAATTCCCACTAATACATTTTCTTTTCATTATTCTCTTCTTCTGCTCTGATGGTTTGGCTTCTACAAGAAGGATGCAAATGCAGGAGATAAAAAATGTCAAGAACAATCAAATGGTGCAGATCCTTGGCAGATTCGCCGTGCACGCGGCCAATAAAGAATACGCCGATTTTTGGTGGCGAACAAATAATAGTGTTTTGGATAAATCGGAGTATATGGTATTCTCCGAGGTGGTGAAGGCCAAGAGCAAGAGGAAGGCCTCAATAGACGGCCGAACATACTACCTCAATATTAGGGTTACTAAGCGCCATAACACAATATTAGGGCTATGTATTGCGCAAGTATTCGTGTCGTCTTCCCCACCCGTCTATTTAACTTCACACTTTATTGTTGTGGGGTAGTATGTTCAAGCTTTTGTTCGCTCTATGAGTAGAGAAATTATTCTGTACGGAATTCGGACAAGAAGAATCATTCGGACTGTAAGTGTACATATTATATACAAATAATGTATACAAATCATAATAATTTGGTATACACTATTTACAAATATATACATAATATGTATACTCATATTTCCGAACGAATCTTTCCATCTGGACTCTACACAGGCTAATTTCTCCTCTAGGTGAGTATAACTTTGCGATTTATTTTGCCAAAAATTTATATGTTTGTTAGCATTATTTTGTATTGATATCATATTAATATCAATATGAAATATTAATAATTAAGAAAATATAAATCTAGTGCAAAATAAATTACAAACTATGCACTCGTTTAATAATCTCAAATGAGAAAAACCTTGTTATGCATGTTAGGCTCCATTCTGCTTTTAAAAATAACTTTTAGCACAGCTTTCTTATTACTTTTTAAAGTAATTTCTTAGCGCAAAAAAATTTAATTTAAATCTTTTTTTATTAGAAAATAGATTTAGAAAATAATAATAAAAATATCCCAAACAAAACCTTAGTCCTTTTTAATCTTTTTTATTCCTTGTGCTTGATTTGATTCTATGGCTTATCAAACATGAACAATTCTTATGATCCAAGTCTTTAATACTTAGTTCACATAAATACAATCAGATGAACCTATCAATACATTCTTGAATTTGTTAAAAGAAGTGCACATCAAATGAACTTAAAAACAACAATCAAGGAGATAACCAAATTAAAAGAGAACATTAAAATTTATGTGATCAGCTTATGTAAGCCAAATGTCCAGGAGTATGAAATTATAATTATCGTGTATAAGAAAAATACACTTATCAATTTCTTATACACTTATCAACACTTCATAAATGTTCCTCGCCATTTGATTTATATATGAATATTCAGTTTGATATGTCACCAAAAATCGCCATGATCCTGCACAAATCTCGAGGCACATTAGTTGGCAACTTCCAAAATTGAATGTGGGACCATCTGAACTCCAATTTCATCAAATGTATAATCAAATTGAACATCTTAGTAAGACGAACCCAATGACACCAAAATCAGTCCAATCCGAGCCCAAATGGATCCAAATCAAGAGACCAAAGCATGTTTAAAAGCTTACAATCCAAAGTTGATGATTAAATGATCTCCAAATATGACATTCTTATAATCAAATTGAGCGGCTCGACGTGACGAATCCAACGAGTTCAAGATCGCCTAACTCTGGCATCATTAAGACACTTAAATGTTGCATGAACACTATGATTGAAGGAATAGATATGGGTCGTCTGATGAAGCACTCCGATTTTTTCCTTGATCTTTTACATGTTTATGGAGCATATTGACACCGAACTAGAGGTGGCTCGACGTGGAGTTGTCGACGTCCCGATGATCGAAGCTGAACATAACTCCAAGAACTATTTCCTGAAATGATCCACCACCTGAATATAATTCAGGAAATAGAAATATAAACAAATACATAGCTAAACCCAAGTTTTATTAATCATCTCCCTTTTACAAGACAACAGCCCCTAATAAGGAAAACATAAAAGGCAATAGTTCTCATGAAAATATAAAAGCCAAGTATTCAATTCTATGTAGCTAATATAAGGACTAATGTTTACTACCAATAGAACAAACATAGCAATAGCACCGGCGTCACAGGTCACTCTCAAAAATTTATAAGGACCTTTGGAAGCTTTGACCTTGGGCTAGAGACTCAATAAAGCTATGAGTCTTCAAGAACCATGAAGCTCCATCTCGGCACCACCCTCGATGAACCCTATCCATATGGCCAACGCTATTGAACATTCGCCCAACCATCACCATCGGACCTCCATCTAACCACCACAGACGGGTCTCCCTCTGGCCACAGTCACTAGACTACGATCCTTCTGACCTCCGCCGCTCGCCGGCTACAATCCCTCTGGCACAATCGCCAGAATATGGACCTTCCAACCTCAGTTGCCTGCCGACTATGGACCCTCCAACCACCGTCACCCAACTACGAACCTTCCAACTTTCGTCGCACACCGAATATAGCCCTTTGATCATCGATGCCCGACTATAGTCCTTCCGACCTTCATCTCCTACCGACTACGGTCTCTCAAACCACCATTGTTCGACTATGGTCCCTCTGACCTTCATCATCTACCGACTACAGTCCTTCCGACCACCGTCATCTGACTACAATCCTTCTAACCTCTATTGCCCGTCGAATCCTATCCCTCCGACCATCGTCGCACGACGACTATTTTCCCTCCAACCATCGTCACCCTCTGACCTCCGTCGCTAGTCGACTACAGTCACTCAAACCACTATCGACTATTGAGTACGGCCCTCTAACCTTCATCGACTGCAAACTACGATCCCTTCAACCTCTGTCGACCGTCGACGACGGTCCCTTTGACCACTATTGATCACAGACCATAATCCCTTCGAACTTTGTAGCATGCCAACTATAGTCCTCAAAAGTCCATCACCAACTAACTGAGGTTACTCCAACCTCTATCACCCAGCAACTACAGTCCCTCTAACCTCCATCAATCATTCATTATAGTCCCTCCGACCTCCATCATTTGTCGACTAATGTCCCTCCGACCTTCGTCACCCGCCTCCTATGATCCTTCCGACATCCGTCATCTGCTAACTACGATCCCTCCGGCCATCGTCATCCGACTACATCCCTCTGACCACCATCGCCTGAGTACGAATCTTCTGACCTCCGTCACCAACCGACTGCGGTCCCTCCGAGTTCCATCGTCTACCAACTATGGTCCTTCTAACCTTCATCGTCCGCTGAGTACGGTCTCTCCTACCATAATCACTCGAATACAATCCCTTTGACCTCCATCATTCATCGACTGCGGTCCCTCTGACCTCTGTCTCCCACCGATTGTGATTCCTCCGACCTTTGTCGCTCGCCGACTACAGCCCCTCCAACCTCTTTCGCCCACCAACTATAGTCACTATGATTGTCGTCGCCCATTAACTACGACTACGACCTTCGTCGCCTGCCGACTACAGTCCCCCCGACCACCATCACCCGACTATGGTTCCTCTAACCACTATTGCCCGAGTATAAATCTTTTGACCTATATGGTCTCTCCAACCTCCATCGTCAGTCGACTATGCCCCTTCCAACCTCTGTTTCTCGCCGACTAGGATCCCTCCTGCCACCATCACTTGAATACGATCCATCCGACCTTTGTCGCCTGTCAACTATAGTCCCTCTAACCTTTGTCGCCCGTGGACTGTGATCCCTCCGACCTCCGTCGCCCACCGACTGTAGTCCCTCCTACCTCCATCGCCCGCTGACTACTATCCCTCTGACTACCGTCACCGGACGACTACGATCCCTCCAACCACCATCACATGTCTACTATCATTGGATTTTTTCAACCCCAACAATATAATGTATTCTTTATTTTTACATTGAGCCAACGCCTCATGAGGAAAGACATCATTTGTAATCAACAACCAACACTAGTGGATTCATTTCAACAGGGCAAGACCCCATAGTTTTTCCTTTTTTAGAATTTTTTAAAATTATGATATCTCTTATGACTCTTGCGCCTATCTCTCTCTTTAATTGTATATGTTGAATTTTCATTCAAAACTAAGATGCTAAGCTCTTCATCTCTCTATCATTGTGAATGTTCTAGTACACAATAGAGTTAATACTTACAAATCAGCTCAACATATTTCCAAGTGTTTACAAAATAAATTTGATATCCACATCATCAAATAATTTTTATATAATATTGCATTAAATACTTGACAAAATTAAGGTAATATACAGCTCAAAGAATAAATGATCTAACACCCAAGTAGGGCTGTCAAAAAAATTTGCCTCTTTAACAAACTCGTGTTTGATTCAATCGTTACGCGAGTTGGGCACAAACTAATGTTCTAAGCTCAATTTTTATACGAGTCAAACAAGAATAATTATTTGTTTGAATATGCTTAGCTCCTTATTGGCTTTATTGCCGCTCAAATTTGTCTCCGTAGCTGGTTTCTCAGGACTGTTTAAAACTTTAATAACCATCGCTTCCTCAAAGCTACCTTTGTCCTCAAAGATGAAGAGTTTGGCATACACAAGTTTATCCGATTTGCTTTCACCATAGTCCTCAAGTAAATTATCAACTCCAAAGTTTGAACCAGGCTGATGGGATAGATTCATTAGTAGCAGTGGTTATCTAATTTTTCTAATCTTACTACTAATCTTTCTCAGGTCAATAACTTCAACCTTAAAATCCTTCCCCTGCATCAAATTTTTACATATATAACACCACCTAAAACTATTAAAAATACATATTTAACACCTAAATTTTTATATTTAATAATATACCACATAAATCCCCCCTTTCCTTCTATTCTACCACTCCATTCAAGCGATGAGATACTTGTATTCACTATGAAAGGATGTCATTGACGGTGAAGACAATCGTTGATAGTGATTTTTGACGGAAGGTTTAAACGGAATGTTAGAATTGATTAAAATAGGAGTTTTAGGTGTTATAATAGTAAAAACAAAAAATAAAAAAAGGTGTTATAAATAGTAAATATAAAAGTTTAGGTATTAAATAGGTATTTTCAATAATTTTAAGTGTTATATAGGATAAAAAAAAAATTGCACAACATTCTAGCAAACATCGTGGTGGGGTATTGAAGAAATTTATTGTGAAGTGCCCTCATTTTACTAGATCTTCTAAACTTTTCATATTATCTAAAGGTTTAGATTGAGAAACGGAGTATAGCAAGGCGCTCTGTTTAACTTTTCTTATTTTGGATAAGCCTATTTTTACCATATTTTATAATTATCACTTTAATTAATGATAATTATTTGCTTATTTAAAAAAAAAACTAAGACTAGTTCTTGCAAGTTGCAAAAAATAAAAATCAAAGAGTGCATTAGAAGAGCCACTGCAGTCGCTAAAATCTATTAAGTTACAAATTTGGGGAGTAATTCTAACCTTCAATCACTCCTTCGGAATCGAAAGTCAGTACATCTCAGCTACATTAGAGATAAAATGATGAGCCCTAAGACAAAATTTTTGTGGCTGCAGCAAACGCAGTAGCAACTTCCATCAATTATTTTTTTATTCCTGCGATGGAAAATACTTAGACTTAAACAGAGTAAGATGAACATAAAAATCTGAATATGAATCAGAATGCAAACATTTGCACTAAAAAAGAAACAAAAAAGAATTCGTCGATTGATATTTCTTCTTTGATTTCAAAAAAATATCATTTTATTGCAACAAGCAAATAAGCACTCAGAAACATCAGAGAATTGGTTTCAGAATCCTGAAAGATGGCTCCTCACTCTAAAGCATAGTAATGGTAAATGCGTTAAGTACAATCACGTAACAAAAAGGATTACAAAGGGGACTTCTTCATTTAAAACCTCTCCAGTAAATAATAATGGACAGTAACTTTGTACTAGCAAAGTTTTTTTTTTTCCTCAAAGCCCAAATTGCGAAGGGAAGGCACGGTTCTAGTAATAAGCACTCACTAATAAGTTAAAATTGATCAGTAAAGAGAATCCTGGTATTAAGGAACATTAGTATTCAGCATTAAAGAAGAGAGATTGGATTGCACCCACAAACAAATATTGTAATTAATTTCATTAATATAGGAAGAGTTGCAAATCAATTGTCACTATTCTTCCTGTGTTGCTTTCCTACAACAGTCTAAGGCTTCGTTTGGGATGGCTTTCTTACTGTTTCTTAAAGCAGCTTTCTAATAGAAAAAATTAATATTTTTGTTCTAAAAAACTGTTTTAAGAAACAGTAAGAAAGCCGTCCCAAACGAAGCCTTAAAGAAACGCTCTCTCAGCAACCATGTATTAATCCTATCAGCTGTATCCACATGTATGTCAGCAATCCATTTGACAACTCTCTCTCTCTCTCTAAATATTTCTTGTCACGTCTCCATTACGTGACCGCTCAAGTCCAAATATCTCTATAAATTAGAACTCTCGGAGTTTCAGTTTCATGCCATTCTCATAGGCTATGATTTCATGTGATTTACTGATGACTCTCATTCATGTCCGTCTCCACCATCAAAACCAATCATGATAAAATTTTGAATCTATACTACAACATCTAGATTTGGCAAGGACTTCCTCTGATCACAATAACAGGTTCCATCACACATGCACTTGTTCATTTTATTGCTCCTTCCAAAATAGCTAGGAAAGCATGGAGCACCTTGGCCAATATATACGCCAAACCCACCTGTTGAGGTCTTAATCATCTGGAAGATCAAATTTCTTCTCAATTTGCTCACAGAAAATCACTAGATATCTAGAATATCCAAAAACAATTGAAGATGAACACATTTTGTTAAACACATTGTTTGATGATGATGACTTGATTCTCAAAATTCTTGAAGGTTTCAATGATGATTAGATTCACCTTTGCTTTGCACTTTGTGTTTTGTAAAACTACTATCACCTTTGATGAGCTGCAATATTAACTTCTCAATCATGAATGCATCTTAAGTCTGAAATCCAAAGTCACTCATGCCCGCTAACACCAATCCAACTGTTAAACACAACAACTCATCACGACCTCACAATCAAAACCATCGCCAACAAAATCTCCCCAACCAATCAATCACGCTCCCACAAAACCACCTATAACCAAAACCACCACACTCCTTAACTACTCCAAACTACAACATGATTCACTAACCATAACCCTATCTTATCAAATGCCAATTTTACCACCAACAAGGACAATGGCACTCGATGCCCCACATATAAAAATATACCCTAACATCCTAACAACCAAAATAGGTTTGCCCAAGTGCTAAATGCCATTATTGCAAACACTCATCCAAATTGGCTTCTCGACTATAGTGCTTCCCATCAGGTCACAAATAGCCTTTAAAATATGACTTATAATGACATTTATAACAACAATGATGACATTCTCATTAGTGATGGCATCAGCCTTCCCATAACCCACATTAGTTTTATCACACTCCACTCATATTCTAAACATTTTCATTTGTATAATGTTTATACTATTTATATCACATTCTAAGCATTTTACATCGTCTAATGTTTATTTAGTTCCTGCTATGATAAAAAAACTTAATCTCGGTTTATAAGTTGTCTCGCAAAAAGTGTCTTCATTGAATTCTTACTTAATTCTTTCTTTGAAAAGGAGCATCGCAAAGTAGAGATACTTAGGAAAAGACTAGAGACGGGATTTAAAAAGGCATAACGTGTTTCTAATCAACCACCATTATTTGCTCCCTCCACCATCAAAACTCCAATCTTTCTATGGCATGCTCATTTAAGCGTCCATCCTCCCAAATCTTACACCACCTTGTGATGATCAAGCATCTTGAGTTATCTTCATCTAGTACCTCTTCCTTTTTCTATAATTCTTTTTATTGTGTCAAGGCACACAATCTATCAATTTATGAGTCCTCTCTTTCAAGTAATGGTCCCTTGGAAATAAGTATTTCAAAAGTATAAAATTCACCAATTTACTCTAATGACCATCACACTACATCAATTTTGTTGATTATTTTTCTTGCTATATTTGGTTTTATCCTCTTAAGCTAAAAATTTGATGCGCATGATGTCTTTCCTTGTTTTAACTCAATAGTTGAAAAACAATTATAAGATAGTTTGTCATATTTTACACTAACAATGGTAGGGAATACATCTCACTAAAAACTTATTATCCACAAATGAAATTTTCCATATAACTCTGCCACCTCATACAGAGCCCAAGCACTGACATCACTATTTTGTATATACAAATCTCACTCTTCTCCATCATGCATTTATCTCCATTTCAATTTGGACTCACATTTGATATTGTTGTTTACCTCTTCAACCATATGCCAAAATTAAGCCTATCAATGTTTTCCACCATTGAAATAATCATTTCATCATCCTTCCAATCATTCCAAAATATGCACCTTGGGTGCTCACATTATTGATGGTTTTGACCCTATAATACTGCCAAAATCGAACCAAAATTCACTCTTTGTGTCATCCTGTGCTATTCTTTAACTGAAAGTGCATACAAATATTATGAACTAACTTCTAAAAATTATATATTTCTAAACATTTCATTTTGGTTGAAGAAAACTTTTCATTTTTTCCTCAATTTCCAAACCTCCCTTGTCAAAATTATGGTATCATCACAATATAATTACCCTCCTCACCTTCTCTAGATTTGACAACTACCCAAGCAATTCTCCTTCCACAACTCCACCCGCAATCAAGACCTTTCACTTTCCTCCTACACTCCTACCCCGTCTTCAAATTTATTATCCCACGCATTTCCAATCAGCATTCAGACGTAATTCACTAACCTAGGGGTGTCAATAGTTGACCCGACCCGACAACCCGACCCGAACCCGACCCGAAAAATTCGGGTTTGGGTCGACCCGTTTAACAAACGTGTCGGGTTCGGGTCTCAACTTTTGACCCGTTTAATAAACGGGTCGGGTTCGAGTCAACCCAATAACCCGTAATTGACCCGATAACCCGGCTGGGCGCCTTTGCAGTCTTCCCGATTTCCCATTTTTAATTTTCCCGCGTTAGACATGAGGGAATTTAAATTCCTGAACGGAGGCCTCGGGCCTGAGGGATTTGACTCTGCTTTGTCAGAGCCTGAGCCTCTGCTGCTTTACCTCAGAGGGATTGGACAAAAAGCCTGGACTCGCCGGACTCGCCTAGTCCTAAGTTCTCGAACGCGGAATGCCTACTGGCGGACTCGCCTAGTCCTAAGTCCGCGAACGGCGACTCCGCGCTGCCGTCAACGTCCCGTCGGGCGTCGGGTCCGGTGATTTCGCGCTGCCGTCAACGTCCCGCCGGCTCCGCGATGCCGTCAACACACCGGGCCACCAGCTGCATCAACGTCCCGTCAAGTCCGCACTCCGCCCGTCCGCCGGCCTCCATGCAGACTGCAGCGTCTCTGGCATCGCCTCGCCTGCCGTTGGGCGGCCTAGTCAAAGGGGTTCGCAGGTTTGGTCGGGTCAACCCGGCAACCCATGCAGGTCGAGTCCGGGTTTAATTTCTTGACCTGTTTATCTAAACGGGTCGGGTTCGGGTTGACTCGTTTACTCCCGGGTCAAGTCGGGTAGCCATTGGTCCGTTCAAAATGTTTGAGTTTAAGGGAGAACGGAATCAGACCCGAACCCGACCCGTCGACCCGAATTGACACCCCTACACTAACCTACACCATCTTGTGTCTCACGCACACAAAGTCCACTCCAATAATAATCAACCCCCCTCTGCAACCTTTAACCCCTCCCATACAAAGCAAGTCTCCAATATTGAACCTTTCAAATATACTGTCATCTTCCCCATCCCAAATTACCTCTACCTTACCCTGCAATCACACCCCTTCAACTACCATCCCATTCAACTCAATGCCTACACCACCTCTTTATTTCTCCACTCATATCACCCACTCACCCAAACCAGCACAACTCCTACAAACTGATGTAGAACTATGAATGCTTTAAATGATGGATATAAGAATTTGCAAGCTTTCAAATAAGAGAAATAAGAATTAGACATTAGCCGGTTAACGAAAATGGAAAATAAGAATTGGGAGCCTAAGTTTAGGCCAAGTCACACAATAATAGTTAGAATCACAAAACAATTATAAAATTCAACATAAGCAAATATAGAGGATTTCCAATAGCATCCCTAGATTAACAACGATATTAGATGCATAAAAGCCCTTCACGTTTTCCCTACGTTTACTAAGCTTTGGCAGAGAGCTTTGCACGATTCCTTATGCTTGATACACAACCATAATCGAAGGAGAATATGAAGGAAATTGAGGAGGGGAAAAGAGTTCACCCTTGTCTTGGTGGGGCGGTGATTTGCCACTAAACAGTGGAAAGTTGTTCTTCGATGCGCTCCACGTATTCCTAGACTGAATTATCTACCTACGGATTGACGTCGAAGAAGGATGATCGGAGGATGTCGACGAATCTTTGTTCATTGTAGACGAAGCCGCAGTCGAGTTCAGGATCGGCCATGCATAGGATACGTGGCGTTGAAGTATTGTGAAAGACATTCTTTGCTGTCCTTGAGGATTCTCCTTGAGAGAGAAGTTTC